GGCCAGGCAGCATCAGAGGAGGAGAAAAGTTGGCGTTTCGGGTCGGGACCCTTCTTCAGAAATGGGTTTCTGAAGAAGGGTCCCGACCCGAAACATCAGCTTTCCTGCTCCTCTGATGTTGCCCGGCCTGCTGTGTTCCTCCAGCTTCACACTATGTTATCTCAGACTGAAGCAGCAGCAGTTCTTACTATCTCTATATAAACACAGGTTTTCTCTTCAAATTCCTTTCCATAAATTCATAGATATTTTCAATCAACGTCTTCGGACATGTTATTGGCACATCTCTCGTGTAGATGGGACTTGGACACAGGCTTTCTGACACAAGACATTTTCCATTCATTTATAACATTAGATAAACCTTCCTACTTTAGTGACAGTTTGTTAACCTTTGATGCATAACGGGGAATGTTCGCAAAATGATATTTCCAGCCTTCAGACATGCCTCTGTGTTATGATGAATAAATGTCAATGATCTGCGCAATCCTGTTAAGTATTTTCGCAATAGATCAGTCAGTTCAAACTGTACATTGGAATTGAAGTGCAAGTGATTAAACAATGGCTATACCAGGGGTCAGGAATCAGAGACCCTGGGAACTGAGTTGGATTTGAGGGTGTTGGATTTCTAATTAGGGGAATTCCAATCCCAATTCGGCCTCTTAGACAGCTGCTGGAGATCAGACAAGCAGGACTATTGACCTTTCCCTTCAGAACGAGGATTGCCAGATCAAACCTAGATTGCACAAAGTATTGGTTAGAGAGATTACCTTTGAGCTGTTTATTTCCAGCTGATTGCACGACTGAAGTGAGACTGATCTTGTAGCAGCAGGCCTGTGAAATCTGAGACTTGTACAGGTAAAGGAAGCAGATCAAACAGCTGGAATCTGTAGGACCACTGCTCATGCACAAACTTGACCAGCTTTCAGAGGCCCATAAATGGCCACCATCTGGAATTTGGTTGGCACCAGCACAGCACTGACTGGTTCAGAGCAGCCTACATTTGCAGTGAGTGTCTCAAAGTGGCATTAGGCCTCTTTATTTAAATATGCAATTGGTCTAAAGCCTGTTTGATGCACAGTTTCTGGAAGCCTCTTTACCTGCCATGAATAATATGGTAGCTGGCACAGTGCCCACCAAATTCAACGTGTTGGCATCTGTCCATGCCTGTGAATTACTGCAAGCTCTGCCTGTTTTATTGAGTTGCAAACAATGAACCTTTGAACGATATGGAAAGCTGAACAACTGTCAAGTGGGTCAGTTAAGCTTGCATGCAATGTAATTGGTTGGAAATGCAGTGCCTTTAAGCAACGGTTGCAAACACAGTGTGAAAAACTTTACTGATTGCAGGACGGATAACTATCTGTTACCATCATGAGAGATTTAGGTGCAGTGAGGCTGAATCATTGAAATGTTTGCTATTTCATATGCTCAAGACTGAAAAAGGTGTTGATAGAATTTTAGCTTGCTCTGTTATCTTTGCTTGGTATGATGTACCTGAGAGCTTATTCTTTAAAAAACTGAGAATGTCTTCAATGATCTAATTTGGAGTGGAAAATCAAACCAGTGGCATTTCTATAAGTGTTTTAATTTCATTAAAGTGGTCCATGGTGTTTAACAGAAGCATAAACAAACAAAATTTCACTGCATAGGAAGTCATAAGGGTGTGAATAGGACAGATGACCAAAAGATTGATAAAAGAACAACAGATGAACATAAGAAAAGAAATAAGAAGTAGGCCACCTGGCCCTACAAGCCTGCTCTGCCATTCAATAAGATCATGGCTGATTGTTTTTGTGGACTCAGCTCGACTTACCCATCCACTCACCGTAACCCTTAATTCCTTTACTGTTCAAAACTCTATCTCTTTTTGCCTTCAAAACATTCAATGAGGTAGCCTGAACTGCTTCATTGGGCAGTGAATTCCACAGATTCACAACCCTTTGGATGAAGAAGTTCCTCCTCAACTCAATCCTAAATCTGCTCCGAAACAAAAGTAGAAGTTGCTGGTAAAGCTCAGCAGGTCTGGCAGCATTTGTGAATAAAAACATCAGAGTTAATGTTTTGGGTCCGGTGACCCTCCTGAAGAAGCTTCCTTTGTTCCTAAATCTGCTCCCTTTTATTTTGAGGATATGCCCCCTAATTCTAGTTTCACCCGCTAGTAGAAACAACCTCCCTGCTTATATAGAACATAGAACAGTACAGCACAGTACAGGCCCTTCGGCCCACGATGTTGTGCCGAACGATTATCCTACTAAGATCAAACTACCCTGCATACTCTACATTTTACTATCCTCCATGTGTCTATCCAAGAGTCGCTTAAAAGTCTCTAAAGTATCTGACTCCACTACCACTGCCGGCAGTGCATTCCACACGCCCACCACTCTCTGTGTGAAGAATCTACCTCTGACATCTCCCCTATACCTTCCACCAATCACCTTAAAATTACGTCCCCTCGTAATAGTCATTTCCACCCTGGGAAAACGCCTCTGACTATCCACTCTATCTATGCCTGTCATCATCTTGTAAACCTTTATCAAGTCACCTCTCATCCTTCGCTCCAATGAAAAAAGCCCTAGCTCCCTCAACCTTTCCTCATAAGACCTGCCCTCCAGTCCAGGCAGCATCCTGGTAAATCTCCTCTGCACCGTCTCTAACGCTTCCACATCTGTCCTATAATGAGGTGACCAGAACTGAACACAATATTCCAAGTAAATATCTATCTATTCCCTTCATAATTTTATGTTTCTACAAGATCCTCCCTCATTCTAAATTCCAACAAGTATAGTCCCAGTCTACTCAATCTCTCCTCATAAGCCAACCCTCTCAACTCCGGAATCAACCTGGTGAACCTTCCCTGCATCCCCTCCAGTGCGGGGACATCCCTTTTCGAGTAACAAAACCAAAACTGTACACGGTACTCCAGGTGTGGCCTCACCAGCACCCTATACAGCTGCAGTGTAACCTCCCTGTTTTTGCATTCCATCCCTCTAGAAATAAAAGATATTCTATTTGCCCTCCTAATAACCTGCAAACTTTTTGTGATTCATGCACAAGACTGCCCAGGTCCCTCTGCATAGCAGCATGCTGCAATTTTTCACCATTTAAGTAAGGTGGGTCAAAGCAGCATAATTGGTTTAATACCCTATAGCTAAGGAAAGGACATAAATCCATTCCAGTTTCCGATGTTCAAAAACCATGACCTGCTACATGTGTGTAGATACTCAGTCGACGCCAACACTTTCCTCATTATGATATCTTCTATTAACCACTGACTGACATGGATAGGGTGTTTAAATCAAGTTGGTATGAGTTACCAGATCAAAACTAGTGTTCATTGGAACCATATGTAATAATCCCAATAATGAGAATACTGGACAAGCAAAGATATTTGGATGAGCTGGTTTGATAAATCAAAATATTGTAAAACTTAGATTGCACAGGAGAACCGAAAGTAAGAAAATAAGTGAGAAGATGCCAGGATTAAATTGAAACTCGAGAGTGCCTTTACCATATAAACTTTAACAAAACATAATGACTAACTGGGTACACTGAATAAGTAAGATGATGATTTTAAACAATATAGACTTCTAACTTAAATTAACAAACTTAAACCCAGGTTAATCTGTTTTTACTGTAGCTTCATTCTGATAAACTTTCAAATATATTCATACTCTGCAGTGCAGTTCTTTTATATCGGGGTATAGCTGAACGGGTCACAGTTCAGGCCTTTGGTATATACCAATATAATTGCCTTGTCCAATGGTAGGCATCACTGATGATCACATGCCATAACCCAGGTGGCACATGTAGGCACTCCGTTTCTGTCTATGCCACAACTGGATTTCTCTTTACAGAATTGGGTTCTACCCAATTCCCTACAATTCGCTTTTTCTCTCTCTAAACGTATAGAACTGAGATAACAAACACGCAGAATGATGGAGACACTCGGCAGGTCTGCCAGCATTTGTGGAGAGACAAACAGTTAAAATTGCGAGTGTGGTATGACTTCTTCAGAACTGAGTTCTTCAGTTGAATCCAACAGACTAGGCCTCCACAGCCTCTGAATCATCTTTCTCCTCACACCAAACCAATTGTTATTTTTGTCCAGAATATATCTCCAACCTCAGCAATTATCTCAATAGTTCTGGAATTTCTTGCTTCTAGATGTCTCTCAGTTAGGTCAAAAGTCCAAACTGATTGGTAAATATACACAGTAGTAATAAACCAAACCAAAAGTAAACAAGTTTTCACTTTAAACTGAAACCAAAACTCAACATTATCAACCTTTAATATAGCTCACTGTGCAGACATTTATAACAAGTGAAAATCATAGAACGGTACAACATCAGTTACTAGTGGTGTACCTCAAGGATCTGTTTTGGGGCGACTGCTGTTTGTCATTTTTATAAATGACCTGGATGAGGGCGTAGAAGGATGGGTTAGTAAATTTGCGGATGACACCAAAGTCGGTGGAGTTGTGGATAGTGCAGAAGGATGTTGTAGGTTACAGAGGGACATAGATAAGCTGCAGAGCTGGGCTGAGAGGTGGCAAATGGAGTTTAATGCGGAAAAGTGTGAGGTGATTCACTTTGGAAGGAGTAACAGGAATACAGAGTACTGGGCTAATGGTAAGATTCTTGGTAGTGTGGATGAGCAGAAAGATCTCGGTGTCCATGTGCATAGATCACTGAAAGTTGCCACCCAGGTTGATAGCGTTGTTAAGAAGGCGTACAGTATGTTAGGTTTTATTGGTAGAGGGATTGAGTTTCGGAGCCATGAGGTCATGTTGCAGCTGTACAAAACTCTGGTGCGGCCGCACTTGGAGTATTGCGTACAGTTCTGGTCACCGCATTATAGGAAGGATGTGGAAGCATTGGAAAGGGTGCAGAGGAGATTTACCGGGATGTTGCCTGGTATGGAGGGAAGGTCTTATGAGGAAAGGCTGAGGGTCTTGAGGCTGTTTTCGTTAGAGAGAAGAAGGTTAAGAGGTGACTTGATAGAGACATACAAGATGATCAGAGGATTAGATAGGGTAGACAGTGGGAGCCTTTTTCCTCGGATGGTGATGGCTAGCACGAGGGGACATAGCTTTAAATTGAGGGGTGATAGATATAGGACAGATGTCAGAGGTAGGTTATTTACTCAGAGAGTAGTAAGGGCGTGGAATGCCCTGCCTGCAAAAATAGTAGACTCGCCCACTTTAAGGGCATTTAAATGGTCATTGGATAAACATATGGATGATAATGGAATAGTTTAGGTTAGATGGGCTTCAGATTGGTTTCACAGGTCGGCGCAACATCGAGGGCCGAAGGGCCTGTACTGCGCTGTAATGTTCTATGTTCTATGTTCTATGTTCAAAGAAGGTTATTTGACCCATCCTTTCTGGCAGCTTTTTGAAAGACCTATCTGATTTGGCTTACTCTCCTGTTCTTTTTCCCATACCCGCAAATCAGATACCTCTGAATTCCCATAGTCAGTATATTTAGATGGAGGGGAACAAATTTGGAGCAAATTAAATCCAAACACAAATATTTCTTAAAGAATTTCGTTTGAACAAAAAACTTTTTTTATTTTGTGATCAGACCTCACCACATACAACTCAATAAACAGTCACCTTGCAGGAACAAAACCTGAATTGCATGAAACAACATTGTATTTAATGCAGAATAAAGCTACTTCACAAATGATGTTGAGAGAACTGGGATCTTTTTCATTGCAAGATTAGCTTAAATCAATTCATCCAAGCCTGGCCTAGAGATCTCAACCAGTCCTCATTTCAGTGACTGGATCAAGACCACGTTCAGACTTGCAATTTGCTCAATAAATGTAGAGCCGGAAAAACACAGCAGGTCAGGCAGCATCTGAGGAGCAGGGAAGTCAATGTTTTGGGCCGAAACCCTTTGTCATCCCGAAACATTGACTTCCCTACTCCTCGGATGCTCTCTGACCTGCTGAACTTTTCCAGCTCCACATTTATTGACTGTAGCTTCCAGCATCTGCAGTCCTTACAGTCTCCAAGCCTCAGACTTGGCATAGAATGGGAAATCTGAATTTGGAACCAACATACGACTTGGAGCAAGTCCAAGTCTGTGTTGGCGTTGCTGACAGAAAGTGCAGGATTGAATCTATACCAACAGGTTTTAGGAAATAGACAGTGAGACAGAAAGTGAGAGAAAGGCCCTTTGGTGTCCTCAACAGTGATCAAGAATGAGAACATTGGTCGATTACTTCCTGGCTCAGGAAAGCTCTATCAATCTATACAGATTACTGCTGTTGCCAAGATCAATAAACCATGGACTGAAATTTAGTTCATCCAGTCTGTATTCCTCAGGCAAAACTGGATTAACAGCCAGGGAGGGACAAGCATTACATCTACAATCTGGTGTTAAAGTGGGACTGATATTTGTAATCATTTTAAGCTGCCACGTCACAATATGTCAATGACATACTGCATTTTAAATTTTATAATTATTCTGAATATCATTTTAATAAATACAGGGCTAGTGCCTACGATGACTGAAAATAATGATGACACAGCTATTCCTTTCAAGAAAGTTGCCACATCAACAAACACACCAATTAAACCTCTGGAAGGTGAGCAACAATTTTTTTAAATGTTTGAACAAAGTCAAGGGTTTGATTAGTTTGAAAAATAAATTGTTTTGAAATGTGGGTTGAAGACACATGCACCAAGCTTGTCCAATCATTCACTTGTGTAAACATCATGTTCCCTAAGGAAGTGCATGTCGGAGATGAGCAGCATTGCTGAAAGCACAAGTAAAGGGTTTTGCAAAGACAATTTAACATAAAATAGCGCGCGATAGTGCTTTCATTTCTTATTAGCAATCAGGTCAGCTTTAACATGAATGACTTTACTATCGTTATACTGGTTGATTGTAAGTATTATGAGCTGTCAGAACCCACAGTACAAGAAACATAGTTACCCACATCCATGACTCGAGGACACTGATGGATGTCAATACACCATTCAGGAGCTGGAACATTAAGCTCCTTTTATTGTTACTGTCTGGAGTGGGATTTAAATGCTGTCAATTCATGGCTACGTTTTCACAACTGAAGCAGGTAACTTTAGTCAGACATGTTTCTGACATGCACATAAACTGACCTAATGCCGAGACTGGTTTGATTCTTCTCCACACGAGAATTCGATGTGCTCCTCTTTCTGTCTCCGTCTGCTTTACCTTTGTGTCTGTATCTTGACTTCACTCTCCAGCTCCTCTGTTTGTTGCTCTGCTGTGTCTGTAGATCTTCTTTATACCTGACAGCCATGTGGTTCCTGCTGTTAACTCCTATCCTGTGAATTCTACTTCCAAGTCAGGCATTATCAGGTCACGTTGATCACTATTTATTCTTATCCAAAAATATTTCAATCGATGACTTTACAAATGACGCAAAGACTTAAAAATCCTTTTTAAGCATTCTTAAAAGCAATTAGAGATTCCCTAGACATTTCAAAAATGAAGAAATACCAGATAACAATTGTGGATTCTGCAGGTCCTTACATTGCGAGAAGAAGGAAATTCTGAGAGACATTAGAATTCACGGAGCTTTAATGTTTCAATTCTCTTGATCAGGGCATGCTGATATATGAGTTGTTTAATTAATTTGGGGACAAAGAGTTACATAATAAAATTTCTTAATAATTTAGATATTCTATTTTTATACGAACGATGGAAGCTCTCTCATTGCAAGCTGTATCTTTGTGAAAATCTTCAGGACAGCACTCCCATTAAGTGATAATCAGTCATTGAGGTCCATAATAATACACTTGAATTAATTTACAGCTTTGTTGGGATATTATGGAAATGTAATTGTGCTAATGATTCCTCTTTCAAAATGTCACTTTGGTGTCCCAAACCTTCAATTCTTGCCCATAGAAATTACAAGTCGGCCTGATGTACCCCTAGAGAGTGATGCTACATTGGATAACCTGGAGACCTTTCTAAATAAGCTGCATGCTAAAGGTAAGCCTGATATCCCCTATTCATTTGAGCTATTATTCTGTTTGTAGCCCTCAGGGAAGCCAAATATCTAATAACAAATTAGCCATTAATGGCAACCCCATTTGTACTGAACTTTGGGACCTGAACTACTTTCCACACCCTGGTGTAATATTACAGCATACACTCTCACTGTTCAGGGATAGTGTTTTAAGTATTTCAGTCTCAAATCATTACCTGAGGCTCAAGCAGTAACACAGAACTCTTTATTCTCATTAACATGGTGGAAGAACTCTTGGCTGAGACCCAATTGTTTATTGGAATGCCTGGTAAAGCTATCCAAGCTTGGGTTTACATATGAACGCTTTGTTAATTCAGAGTTGTGATGCTGTTTTTTCAAACAGCATCAATGAATGTGTCCAACCTGTTTTATCTAAAACCCCTATTGTAATCACAGTTTATCTAATTACCAGCAGAGCAGCTTGCTGGAACTAATATGCTCTTTAAGATATAATGGAAACCTGTGTAAGCACAAGAATTTCTTCACTCCCTTCACATTCTGAATCCCATTCAAACCATGTTGCAGTGTATGGGTGAAGGAAGTTGAATTGCTAGCTTTGTTAGTTTATGAAATCTAGAGCCAATTGCTCTTATTTCACTCTACTCCTGTATGTCAGATTCTTCCCCAACATAAAGAAGGTGACTTTTCAGATTTCTGAATTTTCTCCCCATTTAGAAAATGGTCTATGCCTCTATTCTTCCTACCAAAGTGCATGACCTCATACTTTCCCACATTGTATTCCATCTGTTACCTTTTGGCCCACTCTCCTAACCTATCTAAATCCTTCTGCATCCTCCCGCCTCCACAATATTACCTATCTTTGTATCATCTGCAAACTTAGCCAGAATGCACTCAGTTACTTCATCTGGATCATTAATGTATAAATTGAAAAGTTGCGGTCCCAACGCTGACCCTTGTGGAACACTACTAGTCACTGGCTGCCATCCTGAGAAGGACCCTTTTATCCCCACTCTCTGCTTCCTGCCAGACAGCCAATCTTCTATCCATGCTAATAACTTGCTTCTAGCACCATGAGCTCTTATCTTACTCAGCAGCCTCCTGTGCGGCACCTTCTCAAAGGCCTTCTGGAAGCCCAGGTAGATAACATCTGTTGGCTCTTCTTGGTTTAACCTGCTCATTACCTCCTCAAAGGATTCCTAACAGATTTGTCAGGCATGACCACTCCCTGATGAAGCCATGCTGACTTTGCCTGTTTTACCATGCACTTTCAGGTTTTCAGAAATCTCATCCTTCACAATGGACTCCAAAATCTTACCAACAACCGAGGTCAGGCTAATCAACCTGTAATTTCCTGTCTTTTGCTTTACTCCCTTCTTAAACAAGGGGGTTACATTAGCAATTTTTCAGTCCTCTGGGACCCTCCTTGACTCCAGTGATTCCTGAAAGATCATCACTAATGCCTCCGCTGTCACTTCAGTTATCTCCTTCAGAATTCTGGGATGTACTCCATCTGATACAGGTGATTTATCCACCTTCAGACTTTACAGTTTTTCTTGTACCTTCTCCTTGGTGATGGCTACCATAGTCACCTCTGGCCCCCAACTCTGTTGAATTTTCGGTATGTTACTCGTGTCTTCCACCATGAAGACTGACACAAAGTACTTGTTCAGATCCTCCGCCATTTCTTTGTTCCCCATTACTACTTCTCCAGCATCATTTTCCAGCAGCCCAGTGTCCACTTTTGCCTCTCTTTTGCCTTTTATATATCTAAAGAAACTCTTGCCATCTTCTTTTATATTACTGGTTATCTCACCATCATACTCAATCTTCTCCCTCCTTATTTCTTTTTTAATTGTCCCCTGTTGGTCTTTGTAAGCTTCCCAATCCTCTGGCTTCCCTCTGCCTTTTGCCACATTATATGCTTTCTGTTTTGCTTTTGTGCTGTTCCTGACTTCCCTTGTCAGCCATGGTTGCCTCGTCCTCCCTTTAGTATGTATCCTTTTCCTAGGGATGAATCTTTGCTGTGTCTCCTGAATTACTCCCAGAAACTCCTGCCATTGTGGTTCCACTGTCTTTCCTCCTAAGCTCATCTCCCAGTCATTTCTGGTCAGCTCCTCTGTAGTTGCCTTTACTCAACTGTAATACCATTACATCTTATTCCAGCTTCTCCCTCTCAAATTACAGAGTAAATTCTATCATAGTATGATCACTGCCTCCTAAGGGTTTCTTCACCTTAAGCTCCCTTATCAAGTCTGCGTCACTGCACAACACTAAAAGTAGAATTGCCTGTTCCCTACTGGGCTCTGTCACAAGTTGCTCCAAAAAGCTATCGTGTAGACATTCCAAAAATTCCTTTTCTTGCGATCCACTACCAACCTGATTTTCCCAATCCACCTGCATATGAAGTCCCCCACAATCACTATAACTTTGCCTTTCTTACATGCCTTTTCTGTCTTCTGCTGTATCTTGCGCCCCAAATCCTGACTACTGTTCGGGGGCCTGTTCATAACTCCCCTTATGGTTTTATCATCTTTGCACTTCCTCAACTCTACCCACACAGATTCTACATCATCTGACCCTACATCATTTCTTGCTGTTGATTTAATTTCATTTCTTACTAAGAAGGCAACCCTAACCCCTCGGCCCATCTGCCTATCTTTTTGATAGGATATAAATCCTTGGATGTTTAGCTTCCCATCCTGATTCCCTTGCAGCCACATCTCCGTACTGCTCACACATCATACCTGCCAAATTCAACCCTTGCCACAAGCTCATTCACCTTATTTCGTATACTGCGTGGATTCAGATACAACATCTTCAGTCCTGTATTTACCATTCCACTTCTCATGGTCATCCCTTTATCCGCTGTGCTTGAAGTTTGATTCCTGACTCTTTCCAAACACTCTGTTCTAGTTTGTGTTCTGGAGACTTTAATAAGCTCTCCTGAGTTCTCCTTTCTTTTCATTTTCTTCATACTTTTCCATGCAGTTGAATCCACCCCCTTGATGTTAACCTGTTGCTTTGTTTCCCATTGGCAATTATATGTCTGGGAGCTTTACCCTTCTCTTCCCCCCTCACTTTCTAGTTTAAAATCTTGTTGACCACCCTGTTTACCCTTTTCACTAGAACACTGGTCCCAGCTCGGTTCAGGTGGAGACTGTCCCAAAGGTACAGATCCCTCCTGTTCCAACACTGATGCCAGTGCCCTGTGAAAAGGAACCCCTCTTTCCCAAACCACTCTTTTAGCCACGTGTTTACTTCCGTTATTCTCGTGTCCCTCTGCCAATTTGCACATGGCTTGGATAGTAATCCAGAGATTATAACCCTTGAGGACCTATTCTTTAATTTAGTTCCTAATTCCTGATAACCCCTAAACAGGTCCTCTTTCCTAGTCTTGCCTATGTTGCTTGTTCTGACATGGACCACAACAACTGGATCCTTTCCCTCCCACTCCAATATCCTTTCAAGCCGGTCAGAGATATCCCTTACCCTGGCACCGGGCAGGCAACGTACCATGCAGGACTCTCGATCTTGCTTACAAAGGATACTATTTGCTCCCTAATTATAGAATCCCCTACAACTACCACTTGTCTTTTTGCTTCCCCCCTCTTGAATGGCCTCCTATACCATCGTGCCATGATCAGCTGGTTCATCCTCCTACAGTCTTGTTCCTCATCCACACAGGGATCCCTCTAGCTGCCTCACTTGTAGTCGTACCTTGCTGTCTCTGACTACTGACCGAATTTGAGATACTTAATCTACCATGTCCTACTGAAACAAAGCATCCAGGTAACACTCCCCCTCCCGGATGTGCCGCAGTGTCTGAAACAGGACTCCAGCTCATTAATTCTGAGCCGAAGTTCCTCCAGCAACCAACACGTGCTGCAGATGTGATCCCTGCGGCTTGCAATGGGATCAGCCAGCTTCCACATTGTACGGCTACAGCACATCACCTGCCCAGCCATCTCTACTTAGTTAATTAATTTATTAGTTAGTTAATCCCTAGGTAGTTAATCAATCATCCATAAACATCGATTTCTTCCACCACTAATGCTGACTAGCAGCCGGATGTACTATCCACAAGTTGCACTGCAGAAATTCATCAAAGATCCTTAGACAGCACCTTCCAAACCCAGGACCACTTCCATCTAGAAAAGCACCACCAAATGCAAGTTCACCACCAAGCCAATCACCATCTTGACTTGGAAATATATCGCCGTTCCTTCACTGTTGCTGGGTCAAAATCCCTCTCTAAGGGCATTGTGGGTCAACCCACAGAAGGTAAACTGCAGTGGTTCAAGACAGCAGCTCATCACTACCTTTTCAAGGACGATTAGAATATGCAATAAAACACTGGCCAGCCAGTGATGTCTATGTCCCACGAGTATTAAAATGACTAATTGTGGGGACTTTTTATGTACAAATTGCCCCGTTTCCTTCATTTACAATAATGACCCCACTTCAAGAGAAATTCATTGATACTGAAATGCTTTGGAACTTCTTGAGGTGGTGAAAGGTGCCTTGAGAATGGAAATCCTTTCTCTTCATGTTGAGCAATTTGCTAGGGAATGCAATCTGGTCACCTAGATTCCATGGGGTGGAATATTCCCCTCCCTATATATGGTGAGGGGAGTTGGCAAGATGGGGAAATAATTTGGTGAGTTGGCCCTGAAAAGAAACTCACTACTTCCTCACCACCATTACAAATAAATGCCGGGTGAGAAGATCCATGGATGACTTTCAAAACTGCCCAACAATTACAGCCCTGAAGTGGTCAATTTAATGGTCTCGACTCATCACCTCCCTGATCACCTACCTCCCCAGCAATGCAGAAAGAGTAGCATGTTTCCCAACTGGGAAACCATGACGACTTGCCTGCTGGGTTAGGGAGGTGCCTCAACTTACTCCAATCTGGTGGCAATGGGATGCCATGACGGTGGGCAAGGGGGTGGACTTTGAAAGGCACCTCCTATTCTTGCCTCCCATCTCCTCTCCCTGTGACCCCTCCCCATGAGAAGAAGAAGGAAAACAAAACTTACTTCCTCGATGCAGAAGTAGTGGGCCTAGACCAGCAGCCTTTAGAATTCAGAAGATGGCTTACCAGTGCTTCGAGATCTTGGATAGGGCAAGATACTCTCTCTTTCTCACTTGCCATCTCTTATTGAGCTGACTGATGGGCGATCCAGTGAGGAGTTATATCACCATTGAGACAGTACACCAGGCTTGACCCCTCTCTTAGCTGATTTATTGGAAAATCACACCCTAGGTTTTGGTTTGAAGCTAACTATATGCAATCTTTATCACAGCCACAAGTAACTTGGAGACAACAATCACAGTGACAGAGCAAACAGTGAAGGAAGTGATGAGACCAGATGATGATGATACCTTTGATAAATTTTACAAGCACACTCCCACTGTTCTGACATCCAATGTGCTGAAAATCGAGGAGAGTTTTGATGCTATTTTTGAAGCCAACACTCCAAAGTAAGAGTTAAACTGTGAACACTGGAAGGGATTTGCTTTGAAGTTTACGAACGTTAGACTTTGTTTGAATTTAATTCCTCGACTCACAAGTGTGATCAAGCTTGAGGGAACATAATGCAGAGAAGAAAGAATGTGACAGAAATAATAACAGCAGGAGAAGGGACAAGAGGGGTGCAGGTTTAGGTGAATTCAGGACTAAGTCAGGAAGTGTTTCCTCTCTGAAATAACTGCACTGAGGCTGGTATCCCATCACCAAGTCATCTTTATTTAGATGTGCACAGTACATGGGCTCTGACCAGCCAGCTCAAAGCCAGTCCCTGGACTGAGGAGACCTTCTGAATCTCCTGTTTATATCTCTCAGCCAGGGCTCCCTGATTGGCCCAGGTTAATAACCCCCATCAAGGATCTTATAGTCAATGAGATCCAACTGGCCCTGGTTTCAGTCACAACAATCTCGGTATGGAATGGACTTCCAGATAAATGTGTGGAAGCACAAGTCCATTTTCAAGCAGTTGCATTCTGTGCCTGGTGTGGGATCTTCCTGACCCAATGGGGCTTTCATCATCCATTTTATTTTGTAAATTCATGGGATGATGGTAATATTGGCCAGGCCAGTACTTGTTGCCAACCTCTAATTCACTATGAACCGAGTTGCTTACCAGGGCCATGAAGAGTCAATCCACATTACTGTGGGTCAGCCAGGAGTCACATGTAGGGTAGACCGAGTAAGGACAGCAGATTCCCTTCCCTAAAGAGTATCAGTGAACCAGATGGGTTTTCAGTGACAGCTTCATGGTTAACATCACTGAAACCTGTTTTTAATTCTGGATTGTAGTAATTAACCCACCAGCTGCCTTGGTGGGATTTGAATCCACAGTAATCTAGGCCTCTGGATTGTAAAGCCAGGTACAGAAAGAGACTGTAACCTGCTAGTCTAGGTAACTTGTCGTACAACTGAAGTAAGCTCAGTGAGGCAAATGCTCTGTTTCATGTTTTTGACATTCTCCTGTGTTCTTATGAATAAAGGTGGTGTAGTCGTAGCTCCTTAGTTTTTCAGTCATGCCCTGTGAATCACAATGAGCTGCTAAAGTCACCATTATAGGTCCAGTGTTAGGAAGGAGAGTTTGAGTTTTGTTTAGTGACATAGATACTGGTCTTCTCAACAAGAGTTGAGGAAAATCTATCTGAAAACTGAGGTGGGAGACAGTCTGTTGAGAAAGAGAGAAATTGACTCATACTATAGAAGTACAGGGCTCTTGTAATTCAGTGGTAGTGTCCCTATTTCAGAGCCAGGAGGCCTAGATTCAAATCCCACCTACTCCTGAGGTGTGTCATATTACCTCTGAATAGGCTGATTAGGGAAGTATCTGTAGAACCTGTGAAAGCACAATTTGAAGGCCAGGCCAATGACTCCACTATGTAGCAAGTTGATCATTTTTAAACCTATCCATTCTTTCAAGTTTAGGCATTCTCCATTGTATCTGTGTTTGCACATCACATATGGACATCACTTGGTTTTACATTAATTTAAAAAATACAAAGAACTGTGGATGCTGGAAATCCAAAACAAGTACAGAAATTGCCAGAGAAACTGTCATGGGTGCTGTATTTCAGACGAGCCATTAAACCAAATCTCCAGTTCTTCTCTCAGGTAGATCTAAACGATCCTGCAGGCACTTTTTGAAGAACTAAGGAGTTCCATCCAGCCGATATTTATCCCTATCAGCATTTCAAAACAGTGTGCAAGATCACAGTAGGTCAGGCAGCATCCATGGAGAGAGAGCAAACTAACGTTTCGAGTCTAGATGACTCCCATCAGAGTTCATGAACTCGAAATGTTAGCTTGCTTTTTCTCCATGGGCGCTGCCTGACCGGCTGTGGTCTCCAGCGTTTTTTTGTTTTCAGTTCAGATTCCAGCATCTTCAGTAATTTGTTCCTTCCTCTTTCAAAACAGTGTGTCTGGTCACTAGGACATTGCCGTTTGTGGGGCTTTGCTGTGGACGCATTGGCTGCTGCATTTCCAGCAACTCCTGCTCCTCAAAAATTACTTGTATTTACAGCACTTTGAAAGAGCCTGTGGCTGTGAAGTGTGGTGTATATTTGCAAATCTTTAATTTACATTACATTTAGCAGGCGATGGGGACGACAATAAGATTCAATTCCAGGAGATGAAAGCACCATTTTACTTGAGTTGATTTGTTGTTGCATCACCAAAATGTTGGCTAGATGATGTAAAATAGAAAATGCAAAAAGATGGTAATAGCCCCTTCAGGCTAGTGAAGAGAATGAAACCATTACTCAGCTGACACTGAGCACAGTGCAGAGGTCTTCCTCGGGATTTGAGTTGACTTTCTGTTTTGACTTCTTGCAGACTGACCTCCGAGGTGGCGGAGCACAAGCGAGCTGTGAGACCCATCCGTAAGACACAGTGTTCTCGCAATCCCCTGAGGGCGCTGGCAGCTCGGGAAGACATCCGCCAGGAGTACACAGAACAGCGTTTGAATGTGGCTACAGTGGAGGTCAGGAGGATCCAGACTGAGCGAAGTAGGTTGGAGAGGTCCTCTCTGCCAATTCACAATGGGAGCAGTGCCTACAATTCATGTGTCTATTCACGATGTGAATTAGGAAAATAATCTTTCCCAGTTTTAAAAATCTTAATTTAATTATTGAAAATAAGTTAGTTCTCCTGCACTCAGGAAGTTTGGCTTGCTTTTCCTTGTTGCAGTACCTGAGAGTGGTGGATCTGTATTGTTTCTGTTGGATATTTGTTGACTTTCAGTTATTAAGAGTGCTCTGAAACCATGACCCAAGTAGCTTTCAATGAGCTTGCTACGTGTTCCCCTTCAGTCTTGTTTGCCAGCAGGCTAGTGATTGGGAAGTGACCAGATCTAGCCATCTGACTTAAAATCACAATGTCACAAACTCACACATTCTCAAGTATTCCTAATATTTCTGTGAGTATTTCTAATAATTCTCCTTCCCAATAATAAGTAATCTTAGTGTGATTTAATGTCTCTCACCTCTCAATGCTGCACAAACTTCATTCCTTTCTCTCTTGCTGTTTAAAGATGCTGCAACTTTGCAAAACAAGTAGACAATCTGACCGTTTCACCTTTTTTTCAAGTAGGATAGATTAAAATAGAGATCCAGTTGGCTACTCTGAGGTTCAGATTAGCAGCAGAGGCACAGTTTCAATTCCTGCTCTGTCTGGGGTTGACTTGAGACCTATTTCCTCACACTGTCCCTGAGATAGGAAGAGCTTGGAAAAATTACCACAGACCAAAACTGCATAGGAAAATAGCTGAGGATGAAGCATCAGCTGGAAATCAGCCAAGGACCTACCTACTTTTGGGCAGAGTACTCATGGGATGGGATAAATTAAAATAATCTCTATTGTTTCTGCTACAGTACTTTACATTAAATTAAAAATATAGGGAGATGTGCTATAATGCGATAGTTGCATTCCAGTGCAACATCGTGTTACAGAAAATCGCACTATAGAAATAACTGGGCCTATGGGAAAAGTGGGGTTAAGAGCAGACCACGAGAAAAGTGGAACACAAAGGATAGCACTACTGTAAGCAGCTGTTCAGACAGGTTGGTCTGACTGTGACAGTAGCTTTACAACCGTTTGAAATCAATGATGGTGAGGCTGAGCTTAAACTTCCGCCACCCCTACAACCCAATGTATAATGAGCCAGCACATTGGGTAAGGCTTTCCCTACCATGGACCATTTGCTCCTTCAGGATATCATTCACCGGGGTTACTCTGGAATATTAAACAGGAATCAATGCCAAGCCAGCTGAGGATAGCTGATGGTCAAAGTCGGTTTCAGGAATGTTTTTGAGAAGGCGAGAGAGGTTTACTAAGGAAATTGCAACACTTTGGAGTTGGGCAGCTTTGAGTTAGGCAAGTATGGTAGAGCAACGCTGGAATTGAAAGAACATAGATCTATCAGAACGAGATTACAGAAATCGAGATGAGTAATTCTGCAGAGGATTCGATAACAAGAATGAGAATTTTACAATTAAGGGTTATGGAGCAAAGATAGGTAAATGGAATTGAGGTATGTCTCAACCCTGACCTCCTAGAGCTTGCTTGAAGGCCTAGTCAAAAAGGGTGAAGGGCAGCATCGACAGTAGAGCCACGATGAGCTACATGATGCCAGCCTGAGCACAGGTAGATGACAGTAAACTGTAGGCAGTGTCACCCTCCGATCATTATCATAGCCTCTTCCATGTCCTCCTT